GAGGGTTCACTGTATATAAAAGTGTAGGGTGGTTTCCAAGCTGTCAGTCAGGTCACAGGCTGAAGGTGCCTCTGTGGGTGTGGCTTCTCATCCGGAAGGCCCAGGGACCCTCTCCCAATCTCTCTGCCTCCACTGTCCTGCTCACTGGCCACCCTGAGAGCTGCCGGAGCTCTGCCACCAACCTCAGGTCCACACGACTGCACCGGCCCGTGACCTTCCGGCATGCTGCATCATTTCGTGTGACTGTGTGAGTCTGCAGAGGGACTGATGGACTTGAGTTAGGTTGGCCGCGATGTTTTCTTGATGTATAATTACCATACATACTTGAGTATAAGCCGACCCGACTATCAGCCGAGGCACCTAATTGTACCACAAAAACGGCATTAAAAATATGCTGAAAAACTCGGCTTATATAGGAGTATATACGGTACTTCTGGGCATAAAGCTCTTTCTTACACATATATAATTGTCACTGGATTTGTTTCTCTAGTCAGCCCGGCCTCGCACAAGCACATTCATATTCCGCAGGCACACAGAAGTAATGGGTTCTCCCTGGGCCGTACGCAGCAGGAGTCAGAAAGGGCCTGTTCTGTTCACAGTTCTCGCCCAGGAAAAGGAACAGAGGACTGTGTGTTTGGCTGCTAACCACCAGGTTGGCATTTCAAATCCATTAGCTGTTCTGCTGGAGAAAGGTGACCCTTTCTGCCCTTGTAAAGGGTCACAACCTCCGAAACCCACAAGGGCCGTTCTATTGAGAATGGGTCCCATGGCCGTGAGTGATCTCCCAGGAATGGAACCCTGGTAACTCATCGAATGAAGAGTTGGATTGATAACTAAAAGGGTGGCAGTTTGAACCCACTGTTCTGAGAGAGAAAGATTCACAGCCTGGGAAACCCCGTAGAGCAGTTCTACTGTGTCCTACGTGGTCAGTGAGAGTCGGAATCCACTGGACGGGAGTTTGGTTTTTGGGTGTCCCCCACTGTAGCACATTCTCTGACACATAACCAAACCCAGCCCACTGCCACTGAGTCTAATCCTATGGGACAGAACACACTGCTCCTTAGTGCTCCCGTGGCTGTGATTTAGGGGCTGCAGCACGCATTTATAGCGGTACGCATGGGCACCCAAATTTGTTTTCCAATGTGAGCATGCAGAGAAGGCACCAAATTACTTGTTGTGAGTCTTCTACCTGTGGCTCCCACCAGACGACTGGGGGGTGGGGGTGGGGAGGAGCAAATAAGATGTAGAGGACTTGAACAAAGTCCATCTGCCCATCTCACGGGCTCTAAAGTGAGCCATCCCAGAAGCAGGAAGAGAGACCCTCACAAGGAACAAGAGCGAGCATGTCCCAGCTCCCTGCACCAAGAAGCTGCTGCGCATGCATGCGGGCCTTGAGAGAGAGCAGCCTTCAGAAACAGGAAAGCTGAGTACCTTTGGGCAGGAAGCTGGCTTGCAGACTGGGGTGACCTTTGAGCATTTTTCAGGGTGCTAGGAGCTTTGTGGCCATTGCTCAAGCAGGGCATAGGCCAAGGGACTGTGTGTAGCCGAGAGGCCAAGGACGCGCCGGTGAGCATGGCTGAGGAGAGGCAGTGTGGACAAGATAGCTAGCTGTCAACATCTCTGACCCTGCCTGGAGACTGTATTGTCGTCGGTGGGTTCTGTAACGGGTTATAGACGCCAGCAGAGAGGCAGGGTGCCCTTGGGTAGGATGGTTAGTGTCAGGACAGGGGAAAGAAGGCCTTTCTGACCTATCGCCTCATCGGCATCATCCTGGGACAGATAGGCAGTTGGAGTCTCCTTCCACCTAATAGAGCCCGACGTGGTCTCCAGGATTCCTGGCAATGGCTCCTTGCCCTGGAAGCGCGAGACTTTGTAAGCGGAAGAAGGAAGGGGCATAGGACGTGGAGTGCTTGTGTCTTAGACAGCTCCTTTGGCTCTGAAGGAGCCCTGGTGGCTTCGGGGGTGGGGCAGTTCTACCTTGTCCGAGAGGGTCGCTATCAGCTGGGAAGGCCTGGATGGCGGCGAGTTTGTTTGAACGTTGGGAATTCTTTCCTGGATCAACCAGCTGAGAGGAATCCAGAGACAACGTGCTCACCTGCAGCTAAGGGGAGACAAGCTGTTTCTGGAGTGGCCTGGGGCAAAAGTCAAGCTGGTTAGACCAGGGGAGGGATAAAAGGCCAGGGCTTGCTGGGTTAGCCCTGCCAGAGGCCCAGACTCACACCAAATCCACAGCCATCCCGTTAAACCGGACTCACAGCCACTCTCTAGAACAGACAGACTGTTCTAGAGTCCGGAAATCCCGATAGGAGTAGAAAGTCTCGTTTTCCTTGTGTGGATTGATTGGTGGGTTCAAACTGCTGACCTTGTCTATAGTAGCCCAACATAACCCACGCTGGCACGAGCGGCCCCCCGGCTGTGCGGGTTGTTGTTGTGGTTGTTAGGTACTGTTGAGTCGGTTCTGACTCAGAGCGGCTCGTGTGTCTCTCAAATTGTGAGACACCACCCGGTCCTGCGCCAGCCTCACCTTTGTTCTCATGTTTGAGTCCCTAGCTGCAGTCACGGGGTCAGTCCATCTCACTGAGGGCCTGCCTCTTTTTTGCTGCCCCTCCACTTTACCCAGCATGATGTCCTTCTCCTGGGACTGGTCTCTCTTGGTAACGTGCCCAAAGTACACAGAGAAAACGAAACTTGAGTGTTTTAAAAGAGTGATATGTTTAGCTGACAGCACAATGGGTACTACTGGCTTCTTTGCCTGGTGTTATAGAATATCCATACATGTGTGATGGAAATGAATATTGGGAATTACAGTTACAGAGAACTTATAAGCCAGCATACCGTCCACATTTGATTGGGTGTGCTCAAAGAGGAGTTAGGAATTGCCAAGAAGAAGCAAGCTTCTTGCTGTTGATGTTGTTTTAAGTCAAAGTAGCATAGGGAGGCCTTAGGTAGAAAACCTGATCTTGACTCAGAACCTTTGGTCCCAGGACAGGTGCATTTGAAAAGGCATTCAGATCTATCCAGAACTGCCCAGAGACTAGGAGATTTCCAGGAAGGAAAGAAAGAACGAACGAAAGAGAGAAAAAGGCTGCTTGGCTTTTAAAATTTTAAGCAAGCATTCATCAAAGCAGGAGCCCCTGTGCTCACAGAGAAAACCCCTTTCTAGGACTGAGACTGAGACTTAATGGGAACCAGTGAGCAGCCTGGTACTTACTTGCTGGGGCGACCACCTGGATCTACTTGTTGAATGTGGGGAAACTCAGCATTGGAGAGAGGGGCCGAGTTGGACATGTCCCGTTGGCACCTGTTGGCCTGGTCCCCACAAGGTGGAGGGAGAAGAGAAAGGGCTGGCAGGGATGATGTTTTAGGAGCTGTGTGTGAACTCCTGAGCCTAATCCTTGGGGGCCAGGGCTGGTGTGTAGTAGAGCTTAAGTCCTGAGCACGAGGTTTGCAGAAGTCTATGATTCATTTAAGCAGCCGTGGTGGTGGAGTGGTTACACGTTGGGCTGCTAACTACAAGGTCAGCAAGGGGAGACCACCAGATGCTCGATGGGAGAAAGGTGGCGCTTTCTACCCCCATCAAGAGTTTGTCTCAGAAACTCCTGGGGGGAGTTCCACTCTGCCCTATAGGGTTGCTCTGAATCAGAATCCAGTCCATGGCAGGGAGGTTGGGTTTGGGTAAGGTTTCTTTTTTGAATCCTCACATAGGTTCATCCTGGAAATGTTCATAGCTTTGCCCTCAGGCACAGTGTGTTCCTTGCAACGCCTCTGACCTTCCCAGGCCTTCCCATTCCTGTAGCAGCCCCAGAATCTCACCTGACATTGATGGATTGATCGGCTGCTAATTAAAGGGCCAATTTCCTTTGTTTTCACATCCTGTTTAAGTAGCCACAGGTCTGTGAAAGGCGCCCCAGTGGCTGGAGGGCTACCCATTGAGCTGTTGCCTGCCATGTCAACGGCTGAAACCCACCAGCTGCTCCGCTGGAAGAAGACGAGGCTGCCTGCTCCCATACAGGTTTAAAGAATCAAAAACCCAAGGGGCAGGTCTAGTCTGTTCTGTGGGGTCACGCTGATGATCTCCCTCGTCCAGATGGTTCATTCTGTCATAGTATCAATTAAGACTTACTACAGGGGTGTGTATGTGTACGTACGTGTACCAAATAGATTTGAATTTGAGGCTGTTTTTCCTTGAAAACCATATGAGAGAGCGAAGGGGCCAGCTGGTTGGAGTGCATTTTACCTCGCTTGGATGGCTAGAGCTGATTTGGTCCATTTTGCCATTCTGTCGGGTAGAAAGTGAGACATCTCAGAAGCAGGGGTGGAGACTCCCTGCTGGCAATACAAAAGAGAGCCAGGAGCGGAAAGCCTCTGCGATCCTAGCCTGGAGGAGGGATCCCAGTAGGCTTTCCAGCCCATGGATTGAGTGAAGCTGAGAGCCTTCCGGCAGGAGGCAGCCTTACGGAGGTGCGGGCGCTTTGGGTATTAATCAGTATTTTTAAAAAAAGCCTTGTGACACTTGCCCAAGCTGGGCAGAAGCCAAGGAACCACACGGCCGAGAGGCCAAGGACCAGAGAGAGATGTACCTGAGGACATGGCTGAGAAGGCATCCTTGAGCCTTTCGGAACCTAACTTGTGCCCTCCTGACTTCCTTAATGAACCCCTGTAGTTGTGAGTGTTGTCTGAGTTGTGTGACCCTTATGACAGATTCTCGAGCCCAGCAGGGTAGTAGAAATGCCATGGTTGGTGTCAGAGTCGGGTAAAGAGGCTTGGAGGGTAGAAGTCTACCTGACCTCTGCCTCATAACAAGCATCCTTGGGCAGAGGTGGAGCTGGATGCTCCTTCCACCTAGTGGAGCCTGAGGAGGTGAGAGGTGGCCTCTACACCACTCCTTCAGGGTGGGACTGGGCATTTGCTAACCACGCAGATACCTAGAGATTCTAAGCTGGCAGGCAGCAGTGGGGCCTGCAGTTAGCAAGTACCTTAGGGAGTGGAGTTTGAACCCTAAAGACCTCCAATTTGGAGACCAGGTCCTCCTTGTTGCATTCTGGGAACCTCTTGCCTGGCCCTAGTCTTTCAAAACACCCCCTCAGGGGCTGCCCTAGGCCAGGCCAGTGTGGGGAGAGGGCAGTGGCTGAGCTCCCAGGATGGTTGGAGAGCCTTGGGCAACAGAGGAAGAGTCGCTGTAACTCAGGAATGCTCCCTGGAGGAAGTGATGTTTCAGCCTAGGGATCTTGTTTGTGCCCTACTTTTCTTCTTCTTGTGGGTCACCCCCCTCCCCATCCCCACCCTACATGCCGCAGGAAGTAAGCAGCTCTAGGCTTTTCATTAAATCTTCCACCTCTCACTGCTCAGCCCTGGCACGAGCCCTGTCCCAGAGGAGAGGGTGATGTTGCTCAAATGGGCTGGTGTCAGCAGTGAGAAAGGTTGGGAGAGGTGTGCCAGCATCAGGACTCCCACTTCCTCCCTGTGGTGAGGTTTCAGGTATAGCGTTGCCTCTCATGCAGCCGTTCACGCATGCAATGAAGTGGAGACTTGTGTGTTACTAAGATACTGAACAGGTTCCAGCAGAGCTTCTAGATTCAGACGGACTGGGAAGAAATTCCTGGTCGCCCGCATCTGAAAATCAGCCAACGAAAACCCAGTGATTCACAAAAGTCTGATGTCCAACAGATCATAGGGATGGCTGGGGCCTTGGAAGTCTCCATTCATTGGCAGCAACAGGGGCGTTACTTGAATGGTGGAAATGTGGCATCGTATTGTAAACCTTTGTTACCTCTGTGCCTCTCTCCTCCCAGAGCGTCAAGGTGGGTGCCAGCAAGTTTCAAAATAGTTGTTGAATGAGTGAGTGAATGAATGGAGTTCAAGTAGAAGCTGCACTAGCTAACAGAATGCATTCTAGCCAAGCAGAGCTCCAGAAGTCCAGGAAAAGCCCCAGAATTGCATTAGGCCAGGCATCCCTCCCCATTTCCTGGCAGCCCCCTCTGCTTGGCATCTGCTCTGCGAGGGGTAAGGGATGGGCTGGGTAGGATTTGAGAGTAAATGGCAAAGCGGGGACAAGTTGAGGATGGGAGATACGTTGGCCTGAGAATCCAGACTAGAGGACTGTATCTCGGGGTCTGGGCTGTGGCTAGCTGTGATGCTTTTAGGATAGAGGGATAAATGACTTCTTTATGAAGGGGTCCCTAGGATGGGGTGTGTCTGGGCGTGGGGTGGGGCTATCACGCCTCCGCAGGGGCTGTCAGGTCTGGAGGCGTGGAGTGAGAACGCGCCTGGCACCTCCCCGACAAAGCCTGCGCGCACTCGGCCCTGCGATTGGCTGTGGCGGCCAG